GAGATATCTGATTTCTTTCGCATGAAAATATTATTTTCGTTTTGCTTATTATATCATTGACTATGATATATTAATGAGATACATGATTTTTTTTTTCCCATAAAAATATCATCGTCGTTCTGCTCTTCTATTACTCATCGTTCGAACAGCTTGAAGGTTGCAAAATAAAGTGAATCGAAGGTAGAAAAAGTATGTACTATAACACTACTTTACTTGGTTTTTTGACATCGTTGCACAGTATCAACAAAATATTAGCATTTCACAAGCAATACTATACCGCTGAATAGCATGACCCTGGCTGAAGCAAGTCTGAAATGTTCCTTCCCGCATATGCAAGAAGATATATCGTTTTCGATATTACTTCAAGAAGCTTTTCGTGTTTGTGACCATGAATTTTGCCAAAGATCGAGAACTGGATGCATTTCTGGGCTCAGTAACAATATTAGTTCTCTTCTAGAATCATTCTTGGTGCAGCATCGACCCGACTCTTAGTTTCAATAGATGTCGCAGTCACAATCAGCGTTCACGTCTTTCATCTCTTCGTCGTATATACCTTTGTTCCGATTACGATTGCTATTCCCATCATGGTTCTCATTTATGCTGCACTCCAAGTCGTCATTCTTCTACTAATCTGAATCGGTATTCAATTTCAGACATGACTTACAGTCCATGTCGTATAATTGGCTACATTATCGACTTCAAACATAATTCCAAGATCTATTGTGCTAGTTGTGTGCAAAATAAGCTCCGCCAGATCTTTAGGATGTGGGTTAATACAACCTGCAACATTATCCACAACCAGTCTCCACACACCCACACCCACACACCCTGCTCGAGTGACACATACACAAACTACCTTAACCAATGGAAAAGTATTAGTCACTGGTGGTTATTGTTGTAGTACTTACCTCAATAGTGCTGAACTGTATTACTCATCGTAGGCACATACGTCAAGGACAATTCCTGTGCTATCAAGCAATAATGTCACCTAACACTTCATACTTGTTTTTCAGATTTTTTTAATTTTAATAAACAGAAATTGCATTCCCGAAAAATTTCGGTTAGTCATTGAGAAGCGACTGATTACGAAGTAAAAACATAGTTATAAGAAGGATCCTTAGTGTCCTGAACGAGCCGATTAGATTCGCATTGACGCTTTTCGAATAAAGAGAGGGTGTGAGTGTGGGTGTAAGGTGTGGGTGGGTGTGGGTGTGGTTGTGAGTGTGTGGATGTGGGGGTGGGTATAGGGTGGGGGTGTGGGTGTGGGTGTGGTTGCGAGTGTGTGGGTGTGAGATTACACTGAAGTGACCCACCTCCACACCTACATCCACCCACCCACATCCACAATCACGCTCACACTCTCAGTATACTATCGAACGGGTGATTCGAGACAAACAGCCGTTAGTAATTTGTCTAGGATCATTCTATGTCTCGTGGTGCCGAGGCTCGAACAGGGTACGGTGGTACTACATGCCGAACAACTTACTCAGTCAGCCATAGCGGCTGTTGGATTACGGTAAAACAATGATGTGTGTTCGAATATACGCACGTTTTGTTTTTCAATTTGATTGAAACTTCTAATAAAGACACACTCTAAAAAAAAAGTATATTCAGAAAGCAACTAAAATAGCTTTCGAAAATTCCTTTTTTTTAGAGTACGGGGCATCAGTTCAGCAGAATACACTGCCCTGTTCTATTCGGTCGATCCAATAGATTAGGACAGGACAGAGTAAGGTGCGAAAATCTCACTCTGTGAATACCTTTAATAACTAGACTAACAAAATCGAAAAAAAATGTTTTTTTTTCTCACAACGTGGTAGAAGCCTACGGTTTTATCCAGCATTACTTTTTAACCTTTTCAGAAAGTACATCAATTTAAAACTGTCAACAATTGTTTTTTTTCTGACTTTTATATCATATAGACAATTTGAATAAATAGTATTCTGCATGATTAAGTTCTATCGTTGACGTATTTAATTACATAAAATAAGTTTAATACTTTATTTCTCGCTCTAAGTGATTGTAATATAAGATTTATTAGTTTTTTTTTTGATAAGTTTTCATTTGAACAGTAAATTCTCATTTTTATTCCAAATGCCCTTTTTGTTAAACTTTATCAAACAATTTTGTCCGAAATCAAAATGAAAACAATTTGATACATTTTTACAATTTAACTGAAAACTGAAAAAGTTAAAGAAAAAGAATTTCTTCAATTCCCTTTCAATATAACTATAATAATATATATTGTCTTCAGTTTAGAAGTTGATACACTTATCAAATCATCTCGATATATCAACTCAAGTTTGTTCAGATAACTGCTTCCAACTATTTGCAAAGTTTTGAGAAACTGATCAGGATTGCCCATTTCATGGCAAGTCAGTTGTAGTGATTGTCGTCGATCTGTAATTATCGGCATAGATGCATGTCTTGCAAAACAATGATTATGTAAAGTTCGCTTGTGTTCTAATAGAATATTGATCGGACATTTATAGATAATGAATGGACTTCTTTTGACAAAAGATACTCCATCATCGTCCAAAAACAAAGTTTCATCTACATAATAATCAATATTGTCAAAAGACCATTCACCATTGGAACTGAATGGACTTATTCGCCATGCCTCTTCAATCTCTTTGGGAAAACAAAATGAAAAGTAGAGATTTTTTAGAGAGGGTAAATATTGAGAATCACAGACTTGTTGAAATCTGCTAAGATGATCGAGTGCTGCAAAAAAAAAGAAAAATGAATATTTTCATCTTGGAAAAATATATTCAAAGCAAATGCGTTCAGTTTTCTTAAAATATTTCCAGTGAATGAGAACATATGTTTCACTGCTGCAAATATCAATAAAATATTTGTACAAATGTCTCATCAAAATTGTTCAAATCTAAATTTTATCTGATGATCTATTCTATCATATCAAATGAAATTTAATAATAATAGTCGAAGTGAAAAATCTAAATTGCTTTAAGTTAATGATAACTTACTATGATCATATAAATCAATAAGTATGAATTTTTCAAGTAAAGACATAGTTAATGAATTCATTAATATAATAAGCTCATTGAGAAATATATAACGTAAAAATAATGATTTTAATCGAGTACCATCAACTATTTCCTTTAATTGATTTTTATCAAATGAAATATTTGACATTGATTTATTTTCATGTTTTGGCAAAATAATATATATTTCCTCATTAGTAATATTTAAATGTTCAATTGACGGCAAAGCATCATTTAGAGAAAAAAAACATTATTTCATTTGAATGTTTAATACTTAAACTTAATTCTATTGTATTTGGCCAGCATAATCGTTTCATCTTTAAATCTGCTATTACATCATTTGAATAAAATTCATAACCTATAGAATAGAGAAATCTAATAAGAATATAGCAAAAAATCTGTCATCGTAGCTAGCCTCATATTATCAATCAGAACAAGCACATCTCACGATGTAAAACGGGGATAGGGAGTCCTAGCGACCAACCAGGGCTCTCCATGTTCTTCAGAAGTGAGGAGGCCTAAAATTTCGCCGACAGTCGTACGCGAATAGTCTGGCAGCAAAAACCCATCTGTAAGAATTTGGTAGACGACTCTTGGATAGATATTCAACACTTTCGCAGACACCCCATGTAAAGTGTCGAGAACTAGCATCCGTTCCTCACATCGAGAGGGATGAGTGTGGATATGGGTGTGGGGTGGATGTGGGGTGGATGTGGGTGTGGGGTGGATGTGGGTGTGGGGTGGATG